CTTTGAAATACCTTAACGTGAATATTCTAAATTGACGATAAACTTATTATTAATCGATTTATTTAAATATATATATATATATCGAAGAAGTAGTTAGCAATTTATTTCTTAATTGATTTCAAGCAATGAAATCAATGAATTATTCACGTGTAAAAAAATTACAAAATATAAAAATTATATATAAAATTAGTAAAATACGATAAAAAGTTTGTAATATTTATTTTACGTAACATTAATAACCATAAAAAAACAACTATAAAAAAATAATATATATTATATTATAACAATCCTATTAATTGTATCGATTTTGACAAGTAACATTAACATATTAATTGGAAATAAATAACGCAATACTGTTAGAATGATTTTTTTTCTTTTCTTTCAACGATTATTTTACTTTACTATTTTGTCCTCTCTCTTTCTCTCTCTCCCTCTCTCTCTCTCTCTTTTCTTTTTCTGTCTCTTTATCTATTCAACCCAACAGATCGAGTATTTGTTTAACAAACGTTTTCGAAACGAGGAACAATTAGAAATCGACTCGATTAAACGATCGTTTCGCAATTGCGTTCAAGTAACATCGTTAACGTTAACCCACGTACGTTTAATGAATAATTGAACGAAAACAAATACTAATACGTAGAGAAGGAGACAGATAGAGAGAGAAAGAGAGAGAAAGGAGAGAACTATCCTGTATAATATGCACTATACATAGCTGAGTGTATACACTCGTCATCATATGAGAGACTAATCATCCTACCATTCAATTTCTCGTGTTTATTGTCATCCATATTAATAGTCTTGTCAAGGTCGTGATAAAGAAGGTAGATATCAAATAGAAGTAACAGATTTAGCCATTAATTCGATACCTCTTTTCTTCACTAAATTAAATATTTATTTTTATAAAGTAATTAATATATTATTCGTGTTTTATTTTTTGTTATTATTTGAAATAGTCTCATCAATTATTTTCGACAACTATGGTCCATCTTTCAGGTAATTGTAAATTTTTATTTTTACTATATGTTCTTATTCTCCATAATGATCTTAAGTATAAATGGGCTGTTGAAATTATCTTTGAAAGGACTATGATTTATAGGGATTCAAATATGTATAGTTTCATTTAAAAAAAAATGATGATGAGCTTTGAATTTTATATACACTTTCAAACTGGGACAAAATTTTCCCCATAACACGACTAGCCCCACGAGAGTAAACAACTTTTCCTTTAAACATTTCTTCTTAATAAGTATTATGCAGGGTATCTCAATAGTAACTTCATCGAAAAATAAAAAGCAAAATAAAATATCAATATTTAACAAAAGCATTTATATTCTTTTATCAATTTGACTTCCTTGTTCTTAAAAATAAACTACAGGGAATAAATTTGTTATTAAATTATATCCACAAATACAAATACAATTTTCTAACTTTTATTTTTGTCAACGATTTTCTACAGTTCATTTGATTCGTATTATGAATTAGTTAATCTAACAATCAAAATTATAATCACACGTGTATATATTTATTTATTTAAATGCATATCAACTAAACAACTAATCCATTTACTCAATTAATTCAAAATCAATTATTCCAAAATTTGTTAGATCTATTTGACAATTTAAAATGAATTTTCTCTCGAAGTATTATCTATTAATTAATTATGTCTAACAATAGATTATTGAGCAATAATATGTTATAATGAAATGAAAAAGAAAATATAATAATAATAATAATTTAGAAAGATAATTTATTTTCAATAAATCAATCAAATTATTATTTTATTTTATTTTATATTATTATATTAAAATTTTTTAACATTATAATCGATACGACCTCGATACGAATATTCTTTTCTTATATGATCGATCTTTTCTTTCGGGAAATAGAACGTACATACTTAAATTCAAAAGGTGAACTAGAAAATGCATTTCTGATTATTTCTTTTTTTTTTTCACTTTTCATTATGATGAATTCAAACGAACAGACGGAATAATATGATCAATCAGCACGCATTAAATAAATTTTATGCTCATGTAAAAGAGAAGGCGGATTAGTTAAAACGAATTACAACGTGCAAATGAGAATCTCGTCTAACTCACCCTTCCTTCCCTTTTCTTTTTCTATTATTAATAACATTTTAATAACTTTTCGTAAAACTTCGTTGAATTTTATTATTTGATATTTTTTTTATAATCGTTTCTACGAATGGTTTTTATTTAATTTGATGACAATGACATCAATAATAATAATAATAATAATAATGATAATAATAAACACGGTGTGTTACTGATCCTCACACAAATATCATTGTTACGAAACATAATATACGCTCTTGGTACAACTTATCTATTATATTATTAAAATACGTAATAGATATATACAGCCTGGGTCAAAGTTATATTAACCGTTGCATAACACATTTGAATAATATAAGCGTCTTCATTATGGTGTCGTAACTTGTGATCGATATCGATAAATTTTACTATTAAAAAATTTATTACTAAACCATATACGTGTAAGTAATTAAGAAGGATTAAATTTATCACGTATTACGCGTTTTATTTATGCCATTTAATTCTACATAATAATAATGTAGAATTATTAAAAAAATAAAAAAAAGATATACAGTATATAGCACACACATGATTTAATTTTGTTAATACTAAAACTTTCAAAATTATTAAAAATCATTTTCCATTATTCGTTCTTTTTTTCTTTTTAAGTATCAATACATATAATACAACATATAAATATATTTTTGGAAAAAATATTTTCAAAATAACAATATACGATATAAATAAATATTTATTTCCCTTGAATATAAAATACTTTACGAATAAACAAATGATTGTAGTTTTACTGATAGAAATAACTAATTATAATAAATAATGATAATTATAATTTTAAAATAATAATCGTTTCGCGTATGATTTGTATTATTTCGAATGGAAAATTTGATAAAACTGCATTGGAATTAAGACCATCCAAGAAAAATAAAAAGTAAGAGAGAGAGGGGGATAGAGAGAGTTACGTAATTTCAAAGCGCAATAACTTTATTCGAACCGGCAAACTGATCAATGATAAGCGATTTCTTGGTGTTCGAGCGATAGGTTTTACCTTTCTCCGGAACACCTACGTTATCGTCAAAACCAACTGTGAATCTTGGCAATAGGAGCATAAACGATCATCATTGCGATCGATTTTACAAATTTATTGGCAACCTGAATTTCTCACCTAATCTCTCTCTCTCTCTCTCTCTCTCTCCCTCTGTCATATGTAGGTTGCATAATCAAAGTTTTATTTCTCTTTCTTCCTTGCATTCGTTCAAAAAATGCATAAAGAATCATTTCTTCTTCTTTACATACGTACTTAGGATTAGCCGAGTATTTTGCAAAAAAAAAAAAAAAAAAAAAAACGAGTTTTTGAGGTATTAAATCTTCTTCCCCCCCCTACCCCCCCCACCCCTATTCCTCCTCCTTCCATCATATCCTTCTTTTTCATTAAATGAATTAAAGTTAATGAAGACCTTTTTCTTTTATCTTTTTTTCACCGTGTTGACGAATAAACTACTACTATTACTATTACTACTACTATCACTACTACAACTACTACTACTACTACTCTATCGAGCTTAGTGAAAATCTGCGGAACGACTGCGCAGGCAGGTGAGTGCAGCTTCAACAACGAGGTGGTGCCATTCACCTCGGCCAACCTTTGTCCTACATTGCTGTTTTCAATCTTCTGCCCTATTTCCAAATCCGTCTTTCAATTGTAAAAAGGAATAAATATTACTGTGTGAAACAACCAGAATAGAAGGAGGTATCCGTTGCCAGCAAACAAGAAAATAAAGGAAAACGCAAAAGAGGAGAAGGACTTTGCCAATTTTTATCTTTTTTTTCTATTTTTTTTTTTTTTTTTTTTATTTTTTTTTTTTGACACATCTTCCAATAATACTAATTTAAAAATGAAACATTTTAATAATAATAATAAACATTTTTTAACGGAGAGAAAAATCAATTAGATTTCTAAAAATAGATTAATTTAATTAACTTCATGTGGAATAGGTATACNACCAGAATAGAAGGAGGTATCCGTTGCCAGCAAACAAGAAAATAAAGGAAAACGCAAAAGAGGAGAAGGACTTTGCCAATTTTTATCTTTTTTTTTTTTTTTTTTTTTTTTTTTTTTTATTTTTATTCTTTCTAACCACTTCCAATAATAGTAATATTAATAATAATAATAATAATAATAATAATAAACATTTTTTAACGGAGAGAAAAATCAATTAGATTTCTAAAAATAGATTAATTTAATTAACTTCATGTGGAATAGGTATACGATTCCTTTCGACTTTTATAATAGTAAATATTGTTGTAAATTAATGTAAAACGCCAATCAGTAAAGTGAATGCACTTGAACGATCACTGCGAAAGTATTACCCGACAAAACAAACGTATAAAACACACACACACATATCTATCTATCATATATAAATATAGATGACAATATATAAACATATATAAATATAGTATATATGCAATATATTATATAGACAATAGAAAATCAATGTAAATTATTATTCCGATATTTATAAATAACTATGTAAAATCGTTTATATTTTCAATGAATTGTTGTTATAATCAAATAAAGATCGCAGAGTATCGATTGACATTTAACCATAGCGGAGGATCGAACTGGAAGAGTCTAAATTCGGTGCGATCTCGCGATAAACGAATTTTCTCATTCCATCTCATAGGTCAAATACACAGATCTATTTTTTTTCCTTCTTCTTTTTGTCTACTATCCACCACCCCCCCCCTCCCCCACACCTCTAACTTTTTTATTACGAAATATGAAATGAAATTGAAATGAACAGAAAAACAAAAGATAATTTGAAATGATTATTTCTACATATTCCCCCATTGTATGCATTAACAATAAAATGACGTTTTAAGCGCGTTCTTTGAAAATACGCTTATTAGTAGTATCATCCTACTCACCCAGAGAGAAGACACCATGAAGTTGACCTCGAGCGCGGGTTGACTGACCCCCGTGCAACAACACTGCACTATTGATTGCGAGTCCACGTGGGTTCTATGCACATATTTAACGGTTAAACGAAATATGATAAAACACGTTTCAATAGATAATTTATTTCGGATTTCCTTTGTCTATTGTTATTATTCTTTTTCTTATTTTTATTCTTATTCTTATTCTTCTCCTTCTTCTCCTTCTTCTTCTTCTTCTTCTTCTTCTTCTTGTATTAGGTATTACTTATAATATAAGGTGTTTTTATCTCTGTCTTTATTCGTTCGCTTTTACAGTGATTTTCAGTGTCCTCGAACAAACGCGTATCTTGTATGACATGGCTCACGTGTGCCGCCAAACTCACCACCACCGCGAAAATTTCCCAAACCAAAGTCGATAAGTCATAGAACAAGCGTTACGTAGAAAAATTCACCCTTCTAACCAACCCTCGTAGATGGCATTATAATCGTATCCCTTTCCCTTTTCTCATTCTATCTCGTTGGCAAAACTATTTCCGCGAATTTTGAACGATCAATTATTATAAGTCAATTGAAATCTAATTGCGAGTTAAAGTCCATATTTTATTGGATATATTTTTCTTGTTTTTTCTTGTTAATTTTAATAATACAAATGTTATATTTTATTTTTAAGTTATTTCAGGATTTATTCGTTGATTCGTTTTTTTCTTTCTCTCTTTGTCTTTCTCAGCTGGCAAAAAATATGCGAGTCCTAAAGTATTTAAAATATTGTTATAATAAATATTAACGTTTTTATTCGCACATTCTGTTTATATAGTTTGTTTTGTTGCGGAACCTATTCTTTAAAAAAAGAAAAAAGACTATATATACTTTTCTAATCAAATTAAAGAAACTAATTTTTATTTTCTGTATCTAATTGCATTGGCTTTTGAGCTACTCGTATAAAATACTGTATTTAATTGAAATTAAATATTAAGCATATACTTTTTCTCGGTTTAAAGGACAATAATATCTACAGCTTTTAATTATGATTACGTATCCGTTAAAATATTGTTATAAAATCGAAATATATAAGAAATTAATGATATATTGAAATAATAATACTAAAAATGTATCAATGATTTACGTATAATATTAGTTTATACTTAAACCGATCAAATGACAAATGATCTTTAATATAAATTATATTTCATACGATTGAATAGAAATACATGATAATCAATTTTGTATTGGTTTAATTAATAAATAATAAATAAGATAATTTTTGGATAATAATAAATTTAATCGGTTGTAAAAAAAACAAAAGACAAGATCAATTTATTAATAATGTTTGATTTATAATACTACTACGTTCGATGATACTATATTATATTATGATACTATAAATCCCACGTAAATACTACTCTATCTTCTTCCTTATTTTTTTAAAAATTCGTTTTATTTAAAAAAAAAAAATACAAAGGGAAATAAATGAATTTAGAACAACGTATCGGATATACAAAAAGTCTTTTTTTTATATGTATATATTTCGTATTCAAAATATAATAAACATTACACATGATGCTAGTTCATTTACCATCGAATCGGCATTGTCTGACACTTTACAGAAATACTATATCGTTATTATCAGAATAAACTAGCACTCGGAAAAGGCAGATATGAGATCGAAAATATAAAAAGCTATTCGTTCAATTAGATTTTTTAACGCTTCATTAACGAGCGACGTATGTATGTACGTAAAGGCAGTGAGTTTTCTTTTTTTTTTTTTTTTTAAAAACTTGTCGATGTTCGCGGTTTTGACGATCGATAATATATATCGTTTTATTATTATTATTATTATTATTATTATTATTATTATTATTATTATCATCATCATCATTATTCATCCTTTTATATTCTTCTTATTATTTTTTCTTTTTCCTCGGTAAAATATTATTTTATGCGGTCGCGTTTAATAGCAAAAATTGTAAATATCTTTCTAATCGTCTCTTGTATTTTTTTTTTCATTTCCGCCGTTTTTGTTCTTACTTTTGCCCTTTCGTTAAATAATTTTTTTACTTTTTCTGTCTTTCTTCTTTTTGTTTTTTTTTCTTTATTTCTTTTTTTCGTTTTTTTTTTTTTTCATGGACGAACGCGTCGAGATAGTCTGTGTGTGTAATTATTGAAATGAACGTATAAAATGACATTAAAAATATTACGCAATAAACAAATTATCATATATATTCTTATATTCTTATTATGAAGGAATCATCTCGTGGTAATTTTTTTTTTTATCTTCTCTCTTTCTCTATAATAAATTTAATCTTATCAGAGTTATATACGAATTTTTTCTTCCCTCTTATTATTATTTTCTTTTTTTTTTTTTTTTCACCATTCAAGCACGTACAATATTTATAAGAACATGCCTCGATCGCAAAATTCATACGATTATTAGATCGAAAATAACGATTAGGTTCGTAAGCAGAGGCCAATATCGTTTGTTCTTCACAAATCTTCCTTCTTTTCCTCTTTTTTTTTCTTTTCTCATTCCCATAAATCCTTTATAATACATCGAAATAACGTTTTTATTTTTATTATTTTTTTTTTCCTTTCTAGACTAAAGTGGCAAGAAAAGCAACACTCAAACGGTCTTAAATACTAATATTTATAATTATATAATCATCACAGTGATAAACGAAAAAAATAT